AGGTCCCCGAACAGCGTGTGAGAAGGGAGGGGAGGAGGGGTCCGGGGTGAGCTGTGAGCTGCTGGCTGAGCCGCGCTGCCCGGAGAGGAGCGGAGGGACCGGAGCTGCGCTGCGCGGGGATGGGGAGAGGCACGGAGCGGAGCCGCTGTCCCCGGCGTCAGTGGGGAAAGTGGAGGCGAGGTTCCGAGGGAGGAGGTGAGGGAAAAAGAAAAGAAACCAAAACGAGAGGAAGAAAGCTAAAGGAGAGCGAGCAAAGTGAAATAAAGATGGGGGCAAAATTGCCACGCTGAGGGCGGCAAATGTTTGCGGTGGAAATAAGAAGTGAACAACAATTAAAATGCGGAAGGCGCGCGCATTAGCATTCAGGACACAGGGGCCGGCTTCGCTGTTTATCTTTCTCCCCGGATCAATACCGCAGCAGCGTGTGCCGGCAACGCGCCGCGCCGCCCCGCCGTGGGGCCGATTTCTACCTCTGCCCGCGGCCGGGAGGCTCCACGGGCACGGATCGGACCGGCTCCGTCGCTACGGAGCAGCCCTCCTGTCCTGCATCGTCCGGCGCGGTCGCGACTCTCATTAAAACTGCGGTTAAAACTCGGGGATGCGGCTGAGAATCAAGGGAGAAGGGCTGTTCGCCCACACGGAGGAATTACTGCTCTAGCAAAAGGAAAAAAAAAAAAAAAAAGTTGGAATGAAAATTGCTTTTTTTTTTTCTTTTTTTTTCTTTCCCCCCTCCCCCCCCCCCTTCTGACCCCCACACCGAATCCCTCATGGTCCCGCTCCCCAGGATTCCCCTGGCCGTGCCCAACCCGCACCTGAGCGGTCCTGTGCCCACCCCCACTGCCCCGCTTGGATAAACCCGAGCTACCCAAGCCCCCCCCCCGCCATACACCGGCGTTTGGACCCCCTCTTCCACCCCCTCCCCCGTCTCCCGTGCCGACGATTTCTTGTGGACACCCACTGCTCCCCGTGGGACGCGCTGTCCCCACTCGTGGGGAGGCCGCAGCAAAGCTCGCCCAGCGCAGTTCCCATTGCAGCGGTTTCTCCTATCTGAGCTCTATTGCGGAGCGGTGGGGCAGCGGGAGCAGCGCTGGGGCATTGCCCGACAGGAGCGGGGTCGGCCGTGCGCTGCGCGCCGCGCTTCCTCCCCTCGGGACAACGGCGCAGCGGCCGCTTTGAAGTAGAATTAAATAAAGACGTGGAACCTCCGCAAAGGTCCTCTCGGCTCCTCCCGCTCTTCGCCTTCTTTCTTTTTCTCTCCCCCCAGTGTTAGCCTCCCCCCGCCACCTCCCCCAACCCGGCCGGGGCGAGAAGGAGGAAAGCCCGACGCCTTCGGGAGGAATGGCACTGTCGGAGGGAGGGGGTCACCGTGTCCCGCGGGGTGAGACAATGGGGTTTGCCCGCTCTGATGGGAAAGGGGGATCCGATCGGGAGAAGGGCTGCTGGGAAGGGGGGTGGAGTGAGGGGTTGGGGGGGAAAGAAACAAAAAAAAAAAGAAAGAAAGAAAAAAGAAAAAAAAAAAAGAAAAGAAAAAGGAATAAAGAAAAAGAATGGAAAAAAAAAAAAAAAAGAAAAGGAGTTTTTTTTTTAATTTAAATAGGAGGAAAAAAAAAGAAACAAAAAAAAAAAAAAAAAGAAAGGAAGAAAATTTTTGCAACGAGATTGCAACTAAACAGAGTGACTGTGATTGTGATCATAGAAGATGAAAAATCCACGTACCTCACTGTGTCCGTGAGGCCGGGAGAGGTGCGGGTGTGTCTGCAAAGTCTGCACACAGGGCAGGAAATGTGTGCGGGTACTGAAAACAAAGGGGCGACAGAAAAGACTCGGGGAGGTCGGGCCCGAGGCAGCCAGGGGGTTCGACAGGGCCGGGCCGGGCTCGGGGAGAGCCGCGACCATTTCCCGGGTGGGTGCGGGTCGGAGGCACGGGCATGGCCGTGGGTGGGGTGGGCAGCTGTGGCTTTGGGTCCCGTTCTTTCCGCCGTCAAAAGAAAGGTGGTGCTGCAGAGAAGCAGCTGGGGGGGACAGGACAGGGGCAGGTAGGGTCCCGCTGCAAGGAGAGAGGTTCCTCTCATGGGCTGAGCCGGGATTTAGGAGGAGAGCCGGGAGAGAACGGTTCTCGGGGAAATCGTTCTGTGCCTTCAGGGGGTCTCCAGGCAGAGTTGGGAGCGAATTTTATGATTAATAATAATACCAATAATAAACATTACGATGAAACCCACCGCTCTGTACCGGCGGTGGCGGTAAGTGAAGGACCGCCAAAGTGAAGCGGCCGAGAGGCGCTCCCGGGGCCGGCTCTCATGGCCGCCGTCGGGGCCGCGCCGTCGAGGCGTGAGCTCAGCCTCCCCCTGGCCCTCGGGGGCTGTCCCCAGGTCGCGTTCAGGGCCGAGCGGGGATGCTTGGGAACGTCCGATGCGGCGTGAGAGAAGAGAAACGGGCAGGAGATGAAGGGAAGCGCGGGCAGAAGGAGGAGAGAGGGCAAAAAGGGGCTCCGGCTCCCCGAGGCCGGGCCACCCGCACACAGGGCAAAAGGAGACTCCGGGTCACACCCCCGCACCCCAAGTCCCGAACCCTATGAATTACTGCTTTCTGCCTTAAGCGTGGCGAGGCCGGGCCGGGGTCAGGGCCTGCGGGAGGCGGGAGGAGAGAGTGGGCTGCAGGCGGGACTCGCCGGGGCCAAGTTCAAGTTCAGGGGCAGCCCGGAGAGGACGTGGTGGGGGGAGGCTCGTGTGGGTCCGCCCGCTCCGACCTCCGCTGGCACTGTGCGGGGATGAGCGGTGACACCGGGCACCGCAGTCGGCACAGCCCCGGCCCGGGGAGGGAGCGGGGCAAGGCGAAGACGTAGTGAGCGGGGCGAGGCCCGAAGGGGCGGGGGGACAGAGGGCACCAAGCCTGAGCTGGAGCCACGGCTCGAGGCCGGGAGAGATTCGGGGCAGCCCCCGGCCAGCAGCGCTCTGTAGAGGGACCCTGAGAGAATTTTCGGCTTCAGGGACGAAGAGGGATCTTCCCACGGACTTCACCAAGGGGCACACAGCATATTAACTTTAATTTTTTTTTTCGTAATATTATTACAGAACATAAATGGATGTTAACAGCCGTCTGCTTGCTCGTGAGCCCGCGCTACGCGGGGGGGTGGTCGGATTGGGAGAGGCGCGGTTGCAGCGGGTGCAGTGTTCCCGCTCCGTGCCCCAACCTTGCGGCAGCACCGAGATGAAGGGCCCCTCTTCTCCCTCCTTCCCCTCCTCCCTTCGCCCAGCGTTTGTGGAATGCTCCCGAAGCGAGCAGGTCTCCACGTACCCCTACTTATCCTATTCTCGTTGCTCGGGACTCCTCCGCCGTTCCCTGAGCACGGGGCACAGAGCCCGAAAACCAAATCAAGGCCTGGACGGGGGGGGAAGGGGGGGAGGCAGTGGGCAACACCGAACAACCAAAGGACCCTCCCGTGCCCGCCGCCTCTCCCCGTTGCGTTGCGGGATTGACGCGGGAGGCCCCGACGTCTCCCCGAAACATGGGAGCTCTTGGGAACGCCTCCGGCCCCGCACTGAGCTCATCCCACACCTCGAGCCGCTTTTGGTTCAAAAGGCCAAACAATCGAAGAGAGAAGAGGGGAGGGAAATTGGAGCCCTCGCACACGGCCGCCTTCTTCTCTCCGGGGCCCGAGTCGCGGTTCCGGAGTGGGGCTCAGCGCCGGGGCAACTTCCGAGCTCCTGAGGCCCGAACCGGCTTCGTCGTCGCCTCCCTCAGAAGGCGGAGGATCGGGGACTGCTGAGGGCAGCGCGGCGTCTCCGTGCGAGGCCCTTCCCGAGGAGGGCCGATCCCACCGGGGTCGGGGGGTGCGGCGTTGCCCCCTCCGTTTGCCGTTCCGCGGCCGCCGTCGAAGGGCGTTTTGTTCCCCCGGGGCGCAGGGAGAGCCCTCGGCACAAAAAGGCGACGGCCCGTGTGCAGCTTCAACACGTTTTATTATATTTCTGTACGCATTACTCTCCAAACATATCACAAGAAAGGATGAAACCACTTAAACCTTCAAATAAAAAAATCTGAAACAGTTTATGCTCACAATTGTACATATTTATAGTTAAGAAACATTCTTTATAAATACTGTTTCCTCTGTAGCAAGTTAATACCATAATTTAATTACAAATGGATAAATATGGTCACGGGTATTTACAGGAGGGCGGTGGACGGGAAGCCTACGGCACGACGCTGATTTCCTCACAACCTTCCCACCAGGACTAAGGGAGCGGACGGCAAAGCACTACGACAGCACACGGCACCCAGCTAACAGCGGACAGCGCGGGGCGGGACGGGACTTTGGCACGGCACTTCTTCCCCGGGTACGGTGGAGATGCGGTTTACAATCAAGTCGCCTCTTCGAAAGGAACACGATATTCAAGAGATCACAAGTACAAAAGAAACCATTTGTGGTTTTTGTTTGCTTTTTTTTTTTTTTTTTTTTTTTTCTTCCACGTTACTTTGTTTTTTTTTCTTTTTTCTTTTTTTCTTTTTTGTGGTTTTTTTTTTTTTTTTCTTAAGGGTGAACTAAAAAAAAAAAAAGAGGGGGAAGTGAGGAAGAAAAGAAACAAAGTCCTTCGCTTCTTCGGAGGGAAATCGAAGGAGGAGGGCTGGGAGGGCTCGGGGCGAAGCAGGGCCGATTCTCTCTCTCTCGGGGTCGGGCTCTGCAGGGCCGGCCGGGCCGCGGCGCTGCTTTGTCCGCCGCTCCGGAGGGAGAGCCGCGCTCTGCCGCCCCCGGGGCTTTCCGCCAGGCGCCGAGAGCATTGGTTTATCCCCTCTCTTCTTCTCCTTTCCGTTCCTCTCTTTCGTGAGTTGTTCCCTCGCGTTTCCCAGCACGCAGTTACATAGAAATTTCTTTTTTTTTTTTTTTTTTTTTTTTTTTGCTGGTTTAAAGCGTTCGTAAATAATAATTAAAAAAACAAAACAAAACAAAACAAAACAAAAAAAAACAACCAACCAAACAGAAACGAATTCCGACAGACGGCCGCGGGCCGGCAGCGCGGGGAGCTCCATGCGGAGCGGGCTCCGGGAGCGCTTCCTCCGACCCGGGAGGGGCGGCGGCGGCGGGGCCGCAGAGCAGTCCGGCGGCCCTACACGTACCACTCGTTGAAGTTGGAGGAGAGGCCGCTGTGACCGCCGCCGCCGCCGCCGCCGCTCCCTCCTCCGCCGCCGCCGCCGCTCCGGTGAACGGCTGTCACGGCCGCCGCCGCCGCCGCCGCAGCCGCAGCCGCCGCCGCAGGGGAGAGATTGGTGGAGCTCTGCGGCTCGGCGCTGGGGGACACCAGCCCCGGGGGCGTGGAGGACTCGTAGCCGGAGCTGGCGGCCGGCGAGGACTCTGAGCCTTGCGGGGACGACTCGTGCACCTGGGGGGCAAAGGCAAGAGCGCCGGGTGGAGGGGGGACGGGGCGGCCCCCAGGCTCTGCCGCCCCCCGCCGCCGTCCCGGCCCGCCGCCCCCGGGCCCCGCGCCCGCCGCCCGCCGCCCCAACTGGGCGCCCGGAGCGGGGCGGCCGCCCCCCCGCCTCCCGCCGCCGGCTGCGGGGCCGGGTACCTTCATGTGCTTCCGCAGGGAGCTGGGATGCGTATACGACTTGTCGCACATCTTGCACAGGTACGGCTTGTCCGACGTGTGCACGTGCATGTGCTTCTTGCGGTCGCTGCTGTTGGCGAAGCGCCGGTCGCAGCCCTCGAACTCGCACTGGAAGGGCTTCTCCCCTGCAAGACAGCAGCGCTCGGACCGGGCCTCGGCCTCCGGCCCCCGACACCCGCCCCACGCGCGTCCCGCGGCCGAGGAGACGGGGGAAAAAGCAAACGAGACGGCTTCGGCCCCGCGCATCCCTTCAAAGAACCGGCACTGAGGGCAGCTTTAGGGCCGGGCAGCGCCCCTCGTTCGGACACCGGCGAAGAGCGCGCGTCAGCCGGGAAAACGAAGAGGCCGTTAAATACTTCGTTTGATTTTCCCAGGCGTTTCTCAAGCGGCGTTACGGAGCCGCGAACTCCTCGTCGGCCGGAGGAAGCGCTTATCGCTGAACGCCGTCGGCACCCAAACGCCTCTCCTCGCGGCCGTCCGCAGAGCCTAAGCGCGGTGCCGAGGGCCGCGGAGCCGCGCTTCGGAGCTCTCCTTGCTGCTGCCCGGGGCCGCTCGGCCGTTCGCTCAGTATGCGGTGCGAGCCCAGCCCCGGCGGGCACCCACAGACGGCACCTCGCTCTGCCCGGCCCCGCGGCTCTCGCCGTTCCCCACCGGGGCAGCCCCGGCCTCTCCGCCCTCGCCGTGCCCCGCTCACCCCGTCATTCAAAGCGCCGCTGCCGACCGGCCTGCAGCAGCTCGATAATACTTTAAGAACACTTTTTTGTTGTTGTTGCGGTTTTTTTCTTTGGGGGGGGGGATTAGTTGGTTGTTTTTGGTTTTGGGGTTTTTTTTTGTTTGTTTTGTTTGGGGCTTTTTTCTTTTTCTTTTCTTTTCTTTTTTTTTTTTTCCAACGAGAAAATTTTATTGCCTTGCTCACACCATTTAAATATAATGGAAAGCATTCCCAGCGAGGGACGTGCTGCATTTCCTAGTGGGCTCGGGCGACCCCGGGGCTCTCTATCCATACGGAACCTCTCCCCGTTGTCTGACACAGCACGGATCCGGCGGGTTCCCGAGTTCTGTCCCAAAGCGGAGCCCTGAGTTGGACTCGGGGACGCTGCAGGTCCAGCCCGGCCCTGGATGTGCTGTGACCCCACAGCTCTGAGACGCTACACAACTCCGTGTTCCTACAGCTCTGTGACCCTACAGTTCCGATATCCTACAGATCCGTGACCCTACCGTTCTGTGACCCTATAGCTCTACCAGCCTACATCTCTGCCACGCTACAATTCCGCGATCCTGCTGTTCTGCAGCCCCACAATTCCGCGATCCTACAGCTCTGCGATTCCGCAACTCCCGGCGCACACACACACACACAGAGCCGCGTTTCACATCCGCAGACCCCCACCCGCCCCTCCGTAGGGCCAGGCCGAGGCCCCGCTCCATCCGCGCCGTTCCCACGACCGCGAACTCCCGGCCGTGGGGAGGCGGTGCGGACGGAGCCCAGCGCCCGCGGCCGTGAGCCGGAATTGGGGCTGCGGCGAGCTGCGCGGGAGTCCCTTTTCCTCCTCGCTTTTCTCACTTCTTCTTTTTCTCCTCGCTTTTCTCCCCTGATTATTTCCTCCCCGACTTTCTGCCTTATTTATTTCCTCGCTGATTTTCTCTTTTTTTCGTTTTCTCTCGGATTTGTCCTCCTATTTACTTCCTCCCTCGTTTTCTCTCCTATTTATTTTCTCCCTAATTTTCTCCCCTATTTATTCCTTCCCCGGTTTTCTCCTTTGTCCATTTCATCGCTTACGTTTTTTCCTCCTATTTATTTCTGTGCTATTTTTTCTCCCTTTATCATTCACCTCCCGATTTTTCCCCTATTTATTGCCTCGCTCATTTTTTCTTTTATTAATTTTCATCCAATTCCCTCCCTTATTTATTTCCTCCGCAGTTTCTTTCCCTATTTATTTCCTTATCGACTTTTTCCCTTGTTTCTTCCTTCCCCGATTTTCCCCACTATTCGTCTCCTCTCTGTTTTTCTCCCGTATTTTTTTTTTATTTTTTTTCCCCTCATCCGCATACCCCTCCCTCCCCCCCCCCCCCGGTTCCTGCCTCTCAGCCCTCCCGTCTTCGTTCCCGCACGGCTTCCCCCGTTACCTGTGTGAGTCCGTTTGTGGATCTTGAGGTTCTCCGACCTGGCGAAGACCTTCCCGCAGCCGGGGAAGGGGCAGGGGAAGGGCTTCTCGCCCGTGTGCACGCGGATGTGGTTGACCAGTTTGTACTTGGCCTTGAAGGGCTTGCCCTCGCGGGGACACTCCTCCCAGTAGCAGACGTGGTTGCTCTGCTCGGGCCCCCCGACGTGCTCCACCGAGACGTGGGTGACCAGCTCGTGCATGGTGCTGAAAGTTTTATTGCAACTTTTTTTGGGGTTGCTCAGCTGCTCGGGGTCGATCCACTTGCAGATCAGCTCCTGCTTGATGCACTGCTGTCGCATGTAGCGGAAAAAGGCACCGGGGTGGTGGTGGTGATGGGCCGCCACGTTCATGCCCACGTTCATATTCATGGGGCCGTACTGGTTGTGCAGCTGCGCCGCAGCGTAGGGGTCAGTCCTGGGGCTGGCGACCTGACGGTACTGCTCGGAGCGGGCGAACACCTCCCCGGGCAGCCCCAGCCGCATCTGTCCGTTGAGGACGTTCTGCGAGGCGTGCGGGCCGTGCTGCTCGTGGATGCCGGGGAACAGGAGGTGGCTCTGAGCGTCCGTGTGCGGGTGGTGCAGGCCGCCGGCCGCCGGCCCGAAGATGCCGTGCTGCCCGCCGCCCGCCGCCGCCTCCCCGAAGCCGCGGCTGCGAAACAAGAAGTCCCGGGTGGAGTTGAAAGGCGGCCCCGAGTAGGAGCCGACGTGCGCGGCGTGCGGCCCCAGAGCGGCCGCGGGGTAGCCGGGCGCCTGCGAGGTGAACGCCGAGCTCTGCCCCGGGGACAGCTCGTGGGCGCCGGCGTTCAGCTTGAAGGCGCCCATGTGCGCCGAGTCCACGAAGCCGTTCTGCGCCGCCAGGCTCAGCTCCCGCTCCTGCATCTCGGCCGCGGCCGAGTGGTGGTGCCGGGCGAAGGTGCCCACGCCGAGCGCCGGGAACTGCGGGCCGGCGTCCAGCAGCATGGCCGCGCCGCTCCGCCGCTCCGATCCGCCGCTCCGCCGCCCGCCCGGCGCGGGGCCGCCGCCGCCGCCGCCGCCGCCGCCGCCGCCCGCGCCGCTTCCCCCCGGCAGCCGCGGCGTCCCCGCCTCCGCCCGCACGGCCGCGCCGCCGCCGCCGCCGCCGCCGCCGGAGCCGGAGCCGGAGCCCGGGCAGCGCAGAGTCCAAAGGCGAGCGGAGAACCAAAGTGTATTAAAGGAGGCGAGGCGGGGGCGGGCAGGGGAGGGGAGGGGGAGCAGGGGAGGGACGGGGCTGGCGGCGGGGACGCGGGGGGGGGAGGCGGCCCCGCCGCTCCCTGCGGCACACACACACGGATACGCGCACACGGATACACACGCGCGCAAGCACACGCACACACACAGAAGCACGCGCGATGCACACACGCGTGCACACGCTGCCCCGCCGGGGCTCTCACGGCGCGGACTCGCGGCAGCCTCGGGTTCCCACGGAGGAAAGGAACGCGGGGAGGGGTGTGGGAGGGGAGGGGGAAGGGGGGTCCGGGGCGGATTAAAAACAATGGGGGAGGGAGGGGGGAGCAGGGGCGGCGGAGCGGCGCGGGGCCTCCGAGCTTCAGCCGCTCTCCGCCCGCTCCCGCCGCCGCCGCTGTTTATCCCGCCGGGTGCTGCCGAGGCGTCCGCGTTTTATTTTTCTCCCCTCCCCTCGCCCCCTCCTTTTCTCCCCCTTCTCCTTTCTCCCCGCCCGACCGCTCCCCCTCTCCCCGCCCGGACTGGCGGCCCCTCTCTCTCCCACCGCCCCTATAACAGCTCCCGGTCACTCTCCCGGCGCCCGCTCATTGGCCCGGGCCGCCCCGTCCATCCGGGCGTCCCCGGTCCCGGCTAATGGCAGCGCGACGGCCCCGCCGCCCCTCCCGCCCCCGCCCGGCCCCCGCCGGCACAGCCCGGCACGGAGCGGAGCGGCCGCGCAGCCCCTTCCCCGAGGCACAGCGGCCGGCAGCGGAGGGCCCGCCCGGGGCTTCTTCGGTCGTCCCCCCCTCTCCGCCCCTTCCCGGTCGCCACTTCGGATTTTGGACGGCGAAGGGAAGGGGCGGTGTTTTGCGGGGAGAGCCGCACGCACGGGCGATGCCGCTGTGCCTGGGGATCAAACAAACAAAGCGAGGGGCTTGGAGCATCAACACGGGGGGGAGGGGGAGATATTTAATTTATTTATTTTTAAATGATATCTATTTTTTCATTTTTATTATTATTATTATTATTTTTTCAGATGGTGACGGAGGGAGGGACACTCCCCCACTCCGCAGCCCCTTCCCCTCTCGGCTCAGGCACACGAAGCTGACGAGAGAAGCAGGGAGCGGGGCCGGGGTTGGGGGGGCTGGGGGCTGAGCTGAAGTCCTGCTGTCGCGACCGGGGGGAAACGCACTGAGATGGGAATGGACACAGAAAGGAACGCCGGAGAGGGACGGAGCGGCCGTCGGACCCCGCACGGGGCGGGGCTGCTCCGCTGTGCTGAGTCCCGGAGCGGGTGTTCCGGGAGCCCTACGTTCTCGTTCCGTTCTTTAAAGAGAAACCAAAAAACCCAAACAAACAAAACCAACCCAAACCGGCCCGGCCCCCCCGCCCCGCCATTGTTATTGGCAAACCGGATCCTCTCACGGCGGGAATAGAAAAGCGAGCAGGTCAGCTCTCCCCCTCCCTCCCCTCCCCCCATAAAAACACGTCTGGGCACGAGTTGTGCTGGGGGCACGGGTAGAACAGAACGCAGCTTCCTCTGCGTTAAAAAGCGGTTAAAAGGGTTATGGTGGTATAGTGGGCCGTATACTGCTGGCTCTCAGCTGCTCTGCACCCAGAGAGGATGGATGGATGGATGGATGGATGGATGGATGGATGGATGGATGGATGGATGGATGGATGGATGGATGGATGGAAGGAGGGAAAGGATGGAAGGAGGGAAAGGAGGGAAGGAGGAAAGGAGGGAAAGGAGGGAAGGAGGGAAGGAAGAAAGGAAAGAAGGAGGGAGGGAGGGAGGGAGGGAGGGAAGGAAGGAAGGAAGGAAGGAAGGAAGGAAGGAAGGAAGGAAGGAAGGAAGGAAGGAAGGAAGGAAGGAAGGAAGGAAGGAAGGAAGGAAGGAAGGAAGGAAGGAAGGAAGGAAGGAAGGAAGGAAGGAAGGAAGGAAGGAAGGAAGGAAGGAAGGAAGGAAGGAAAGGAGAGAAAGGAGAGAAAGGAGAGAAAGAAGGAAGGAAGGAAGGAAAGGAGAGAAAGAAGGAAGGAAAGGAGAGAAAGAAGGAAAGAAGTAAAGGTAGCACTGTCTACAGTACAAGATTGTCAGAGAAGGTTCCCCCATCGCTGCCACCAAATAGTTAAAATGTTCCAAGCCCTGTCCGAAATGCAGTGTCCCGCTGTTGCTCTCTGCCCGGGCCGAGGTTTCATCCTCCCCCCGCCCCGCCCCGCAGCCCTCAGCCCCACTCCATCCATGCCCGCTGACAGCCGGCCCCTGCACAGCCCGGACTGTGGGCACAGTGGGCGGATGGACTGTTTTGTTTCCTCGGCAGGTTTCGGAGGAGGAGGGCCTGGAGTTGTGCCCCGAGGTGCGGGAGAGGCCGGGGCTGTGCCTCGGTGCCGCATGTGGAAAGCGCTCTGCAAGAGCCGGGACTTCACCGACAGAAAAATGCAGAAAGTGTGATTGCATCTCGGATCAGAAAAGAAGCCGAAAGACTCAGAGAAAAACCCCAAATGAAATATTGGTTTGGAGAAAGAAAAAAAAAAAAAAAAAAAAAAAAAAAAAAAGTCCATACAAATATCTGTCTACCTTCTGGATTTACCCCTCGCTCTCCTTCCTTCCTTCTCTTTATTCTTTCCTTCCCTTTGTTTTTTTTTTTTTCCCCCCTTTCTTATATTTATTTATCTTTCCTTTATTTTTTTCTCTCTTTCCTTTACTTTACCTCTCCCTTTTTTTTCTCCTTCCTTCCTTTCCTTCCTTTCCCTTCCTTCCTTTCTTTCTTTCATCTCATCTCTCCCTTGCCCTCTCCCTTCCTCCCTTCTCATTCCCTCCCTGTTTCCCTTTCCATTCCTCTCCCTTCTCCCACCCCTCCCTCTTCTGCCCTGTCCCCTCTCTCCCTGCCGGGGCACACCAGCACTATTACAGCCCGGCCGCGCTCCATTCCCCTCCCAGCGGCGCATCCCCAGGACGCAGCGGGCCCGTTCCAAGTTCAAAGTCTCATGGCCATCCTCCGAGAGTCTCTTTATCCCTCCCTGCACCGCGGCCCCTTTTCCCCAGGTGGCAGAGAGCCTTGCTCCAATACGAGTGTGGTTCCAGAGCCGGGCCAGAGCTCTCCTTCGTGAACAAAACTTCAAGTCTGATTTTAATTTTAATTTTTATTCTTTTTTTCCCAGCAGGTTTCTGGCCACTCCTGACCTGCAGGATCCCTGCTGGGAGCACCCTCCTTCTGTAAGTGTTCCAAATTTCTCTTTAATACAGCTCCTACCGTTGCTGGCTGCTAACGCGGAGAGAGCCGGGAAAGGGGCACAGTTCCGTGCCTCTCGTAGCCCCGCCGTGCCTCCTCGCACCCCTACCCCGGCCCAAGGGGCTGCGGCGGGGCCAGACAGCGGCAGTCAGGCCGGAGCGGGGGAGCGCGGGGTCGGGAGAAGCACTGCAGCGCTGTCCGTGCCGCAGCCGCCATCCGCCCGCCGCTCTCATGGCGCGATACGGAGCTGCAGTCGGCTTTGATGGGGCCGAGCTCCGCACTCCGGGGCCGTCCGACCTCTGACCCGTGAAGCCCACATGTGCGGTGCTGCAGCTCCCTCTGTGAAACGCACCTCGGGACAGCAGCTCTTTGTCGGCTCCAGGGGCAGCGCCATGTGAAAGGGAAAAGGGAAATCGTGAAAATCTCAGCCAAAGCCGCAACTTTTAAAAGCCCTTTTTTTTTTTTTTTTTCTTCCCCCCTCAAACCTGCTCTCGAGGCAGGAAGGAGCGCCTCTCTCTCTTGCCAATCATATTTTATTGCTGTATTTATAGACGTCTATACGTATATATAGAAAGTTGCCGCTGCCAGGCAAAGGGCAGCGCCCGCGGCCGCGCACTTTGCGTGCACTTTGCGCACCCGGCCCCGCGGCACAGCTCGGGCGCAGCCCCGGCAGGAGCGGATCCGGCATAGAGCCGCAGGGACGGGGGCACCGGGGCGGCCCTTTTCGGAGCGGGGGTGGCTGAGTCCGCGCCGGTGGCGGAGGAGAAGCGCGGCGACAGCGCGCAATGGGCGCTGTAATACAATTTCTGCTGTCATTCATAAATAACAATGCCATATGGTCTCCATATTGCGGGTACAAGAAAAGCCGTCAAAGTGTCACCGTTTGATTTATCTCAACAGCTTCTTCCGGAGGCGACGTTCGGCTGCGAAGAGAGGTAGGAGGGGAGAGGGAACAACCAAAATGCTCCCCGGGTTTCTTGAGGTTGCCCCTCTCCCTCCGTTCTCTTCAAGCACGTATATACTCAGACGGAAGGAAGGATTGTTTTTTCTGATTTTGCCCGTGTCTGAGCAAGTCTCCAAAGGGGACGAGCCGGGGGAAACGGGCCACGCTTTCCCCGTCAAAGCGCACGCTGAAAATGGCAACTGCGTGACTTCTGCCGCGGGTCTTCCTCCCAAAGGCTGTCCGCTCCCGCCCGAGGCCCGGCCCCGCTTGTCCTCCGCCCTGGGTAGGGCTCCCGGCCCTGCCCGAACCTCCTGGCCTCTCCCGGCAGCTGTGGAGCAGCCGCCAGCGCAGCCCCTCGCAGGATTCTCGCAACCCCGCGCCGGACGCGCACGGCTCTGCGCTGCCCTCGGAGGGCCCGGCTGTGATCCCCACGCACGGGGCAGCCCATGCGCGATGAAGGCCGCCCCGAGCAGTCGGGCCGGGCAGGGCGGAGTGATGGATTTGGGATTTGGAAGCCGAGGAGGGCTGTAACCGCCCACTTTCTCTCGGTGCCCAGGCAGAACGTTTTCGCCGTTATAAAATATCTCTCCCCGCTTCCTAACCATCAATAAGACGTGCAGTAAAGACGATTGTTTGTAAATGCTGCTCGTGA